TTCTCTACCAAACCATTGCTAAAGCAGCTCTATACGTCCAGTATTCGAAAAATGCCCACGTTGAGGATTTTTGCAAAATTAACGAGGAAAATTTGTGATGGGTGCGAGTTTTTTCACTTTCTAAAGCCATAACTCCGTTCAAACTCATCCAATCCGAAAAGTAAATACGCCATCATAAACTAGAAGATTTGCTCTATCAAATGCTTACTAGAACTGCTCCAAACGTCCAGTATTAAAAAAACGGCTACGTTGAGGATTTTCGCACGAGTACCGCCGAAAGGTACTTTTTCGCTACATTGGCACTATTTCAACGGCTGTATATCCTTTTAAGGGCGATTATGTACTAAAGTAAGAGCAGATTTGAATCACTGCTTTTCTCTTCTCTAAGAAAAGTGATTGATTAGCGTTTCTCAACTTTAAAGGTTACATGTTTATAAATTTAACCCTGAAGAGTCCGTTAACGCAATGTTGAATGGTGTACACCTCCCTGTAAATGCGCACGGACACTTTCAGAATTCTCTCGATTGTTCCTGAATTGAGGTTGTTTGTCCAAGGAGCCGTAGTTGAAGCGCGCGCAACAACTAGACCCTTTCTCGGATGCGCCGTGTACCTCACATCCCTTCAGATTCGGGGTCTTACTTGAAAGATGAAATATCTCTTGGAAAGCGTGCGAAATTCAGATTCTTTAACTTGTGTGGTGATAAAACACTGAAGTAACTAAGAATTACCGGACGCCTCAGAATCACGAAAATTTTGTGTGGGTGAAATATCATTTTCATTGGAAATCCTCTGGCCTGGCATCGACTCATCCTTGATATTTGTCTTCCGACGGTGATGATCCCACTGCATCAAAATGGCTCGATCTCTTCCACCCAGCGGGCCAATACGACCCCCCCCCCTGCGACGTGTCGAGGATTCCTCAACGCACGCTTGACCCTGGTTGATAGTCGATCGACGATCGCGCGTGCATTGGAGATGGAGAGAACAGAGTAGCACGCTAGAAAAGGGGCATTGATCATCAGTACAACATATGTAGACAAAGACTTGGATAGAGAGTATAGGGGAGAAATGATAGAGGAGGAAAGAGAGATCAAAAAAATCCTTCTATCATTTCGAAGGCGAAGCTCGCGGAGGATTTTATTTGAAGTTCAAACTTCGAAGAATTCAGAATTCTGGACAACATCAAAGGCGGAGGGGCATAGCTCCAAAGGCCAAACGGGTTTTTCGACGTAAACATGTGCCTCTGCTCTAGCAAAGCACATTTTGCCCATGGGAATGTATAGAGGACGGTCTTTTCCAACATATTTCTTTTTAGGGGAGAATCATGCGAGATCTGAATCGCCTTCCGTTATTTACTTTAAAGGTATCGTGGAAAATGTGCGAAGGGTCCCTCTCTGTCCTTCCTCTGGACAAGAATTCGTAAAAGAAAGGATTCTTAATCTTCTTTTTCCATATTTTTTTGGCTTTGTTTTTCATCGCTTAACAGTATAAAACGTGAGAACACTACTCCGAAAGCGATGAGCCACTTTCGAACCCCTAGCGAGGCGAAGCGTTCTCAGGAACTGAGAACAAAGATTTGGTTTTAGTGAATTTTTGGGCAAGGCTGATCAGTCTAACAGCGTGGGCGAGTTATTTGGGATGTAAAAATCGTTCCGACTTCCAGCGCGGTTTGGCCAATGGTATGACTTGCGAAGGCTACCTCATGTATAGGTTTAGTGTTTTAAATTCCAAGATCCACGAGAGCCACTCCATGTATAGTGTTTCATTGAGCCAGTATTACTGTTACCGGCTTCTTCAGCTCCGCTCACGCCTGCCAGAACTGCCTGACTTGTTGGTGTATCTCTTCATCAACATGGAAGTATTCATTGCTGGCCGATGGCTGATACTAGTGGATATTCACTTGATGATGTTATACAGGGGTGGCCAAAAAAAGAGACACTTTGCCCATGGCGCACATCATCGAACTTTTCGTCGCACAGGGAGCCGATGTTAATGAAAGTTTTACGGCGGAATATTCCTTAGGTGTTCCCGTAAGCAGAAGCAGGCCCTCCTTCACTGCCCCACCGTCTTCAGAATATGACGTCATCTGCCGTCACCGTCGAGCTCAACGAGGCTTACCGTAATCGCTCCGGCCTGAAGCTGCTACATAATTTCTTCAATGGATTAACTGGTGAATAGCTTCTCAGAGACACTAGCTGTGACTGTGCAAGACCGCTTTTGACCAGCGTTTCAGGGACGTCGTAATGGTCTATGGTACCTCGACGACCTCGTTGAGCTCGTACCGTGAACCATGTTTCCGTGGGAAAATCTTCTGATGTCGTCGGTGTAGAAGGCTGTCATGTAACTTTAGATAGATTAGAATGTGCTCTTTAATAGTTGGGTTCAGTCGATTTGATTCTAGCAAAGTGTGATTAATGCTGTCTGAAATGTGAAGTGAAGTGTCTCTTTTTTTTGGCCACCCCTGTAGAGATGAAATTGAAGTGAGTAAGAAGGCATGTGGCTTGCGACTGAAAAACTGAGGATCAACCTTTTGCCATCCTTAGCTTTCCCACTTCTGACGAATGCTTGGATTTTCTCGGAAATGCATACATGAAGCAGTTCCTTCAGTCCTATACTTCATTCGATTGGACAACTTGGTGGTTCAACTGTGCATCGCTCCATAAGAGCGTCAAAGCGTTCCATTTGCTTGAGTCTAGAGGAAGGATTCACAAAAGGGGCCGTAACGAATGAAGCAAATTGGTTATAGACTACGTAAATGGGATCTGACTAGAAAGTTCTTTCAGGTGGGGTCCCGCTTTTTGGAAACCTTGTTTGCATTGTATACTAAAAACAAGTGCATAGAACATGAAGTATGCTTCGTTTTTTTCTGAGCGACCCTCCTAACGACTTCAGCAGCTATGCCTTTTTGAACGGTGGATACGCTCACCTATGCAAACTAGCAAATCATCGATGCGAAGGAACGCTTATTCTACGTTCATACGGTAGTCCTGTTCTTACACAAAATTCGCAAGCTTTATAGCTGACAGTTTGTTAATTTTTCGTCGGACTCTTCCATATCATTTCAACAATCATTGAAACTTTATCAATGCGGAATTGCGCATGCCTAACGCACGTTTTAAATGTATTGCTGCCGTTTCATACAATTTGCAAAGTGTGGCGCATTTTGAAGCATATATTTATTCTATATTCCCTTTTGAGAAGGGTCCGTTTTTTGAAATGGATCCGTTGGTTCTATCGAGCAGGTGAAACAATAGAGTCTGGAGCACGGCCGTGTGCTCCTATACCTTTTGTTTCCACAAGCGCGATGTTCCGTTTGCTACAGTGTCTCTAGTTTGTTCAGACAACGGGCTCGATCACAGCTCCCAGTTTCGGTTGCATTCAAATCCCAATTTCTTCTGAACTTTGCCCTCTGCTGTATATAAAGAGGCATGGTTTTCACAAATGTTTTGATTTTCGAATCTTCAACTATTTTGCAATTGTTACATGCTTGTCGAATGATCTCCCGTTTTTTGAAATTCCATAAGTGAAAACACTCTTGTATTTCATAATTTTGGAAGTTTCTCTACATTCCATGTTTTTAAATCAGGCCAGGCACTGTTGGATGGAGAGTTATGTCTACAAATCCATGTTTCTTTTCAACAGTGATTGTGAACACAAACATGAAGCTCGCGACATGGGAAGGCGCTCTCAATGGAATTTGTCTAAGCCGGCCGTTAACTCAAGCTCTATTCCCTCTCAGAAGAACTCAACCGTCACCTTGTGTTAAACCCGTAGACTATGACTTTTTAGAAACAAGTTAATCAATGTGTTTTGTGTAGTAACAGTCGCTCCTAGCTACAACTAATCATCTGTAGAAATTTGGCTGACGCGCGCTGGGTTTGGGCTGGGATTCGATCCAGAGACCATATGCGCGGCATAATGGTCGTCTAGCATCGAATCCTCAGCCCTCGCCACTCCATCTCGCTCGAGCGCATTCGAACAGTTCAAATACCATTCAACAAATACACATTTATCACATCTCATTCGTGGAACAAGGCAATGTCCGGTTGGGAACGCACTTGAAAAGAATTGCAAGCCGCACTTTGTAGAAGTGCTGCTCCCCTGCCTACAGGCTGCGCCCACCGGCTGCTTCTCCTCTAACGAATTTTCGCTGGTTTTTATGCTCGAAAGCTGCGTCATCATAGGAGTGTTCTACTACCACTTCCGCATAACTGAACCACCCGAAGGCCTGAACTTCCAAACGCGAGTCGTAAAACGCCGTCGTCCTCTAACTGGCTTGTGGCCGACAAAAACCTCCATTCGTCATCGGCTTGCTTATGTTTCACCTAGTTCACAATAATTGAGGGAAATATTAGAACCATTAACACCATACAAAGAGCGAGAAACTCAAAACTATAAAAAGATACGAAGTTAATACTAAAGTGGGTAGACATGTGTACCACTAGTAGTCAAACATTAACTTACGCAGGATGGCTCGCTTTAGCTGCTGACGATTAACTGTCATGGTAAGAATCAGAAAGCTTCTAATGTGCACAATTTAGTCATCAAACGGGCGCTCCTGCCTCAATACATATTTCCTGAAACTGTGGTAGTGTCTTTGGCTTGATTACGCGAAATGGGAACATGTGTCCACTAGTCATAAGGGCAGCCTGTTCTCGCATTATTCAACTATTGGGTTGCTCAAGACGTCGATAATTCAAAACGATTTTATTATTTATGCATAGGAATTTAGAAGCGAAGCATACGGTTTTCTCGAATAGATGAATCGATACCGAAAGAAATGACGACATGGGGACATGGGGGTCAAAACGTGAAAAATTGAATGAATGTTAATCTTTAAGTTATTGAATAGTAAAAATTTTCCGTGAAAAAAAAAACTGTAAATGATTACATATGCAAATAAACGATAGAATAAATAGTAAATCGACCAATAAGTAAGTAATAATTTCTAGCTAAGCGACAGTACCGAAATCTACATTTAGCGAATTTAGTTTTCCGTCATGAAATTTGGCTTGATTGATGTAGCCATATCATTTCAGATGCTTGGGCTTTTCTGTACCGTTTTGGCTGTGATGTTGTGCTTCGCTGAGGACAGAAACGTGACCTGCAGGAAAAAACCGCCAAGCAGTTTGTCATAACATCTTTATTAGTATCCTTACAGTTATTGAATAAACAACTAAAGAGTAGCCTTAGAACACGGCCTCACTGCTTTTCTAGTCCTTTTTGCTGTTGCCTGCAAATTTTGTTTCCGGTGCTTGCGCAGCAAGGCTTACTTCGGATAGCATAAGTTATCAATTTTATTGAAGTGCCATGAGATCAGTTCCTTCTACGGCGGCCAAGCACAACTATAATATCTTGAACAGTGGCTATCACAAGGGGGCAGAGTGGTGGCTGAAAACCGCCTAACTAATCTCCTTCTTGTTAAATTCGGGAGTAAGCTTCAAGCGTAGGAGGCGAGGCTTCGACGTGCGTGTTTTGCATTTTCCATGAAGTTCCGCTGCCTTCTACCCGCCTAGGGTGCCTCCTTTTCTTGCGATAGCGCTCATAGCCTTTGACACATTGTCGCAAAGTTGAACAACTTGCTGCTAAGGTGGTGTTTCTTGCGCCTAAATGCTATGGAAAAGGGGACAACATTAGACCAGACGAGTTCAGTAATAATCAGTGAAAGTTGTATTCAGCCGGACTACCTCCGTGTAGATTGTTGATTAGACAACAGATTGAGTGCGAGACGATGAGTGATTGGGTACAGTTAGAGTGATGGTGCGTTCGCAAGTATGAGCAACATTGAGGATTGCCGATAGAAGCGGTTTGAAAGTGCATACAGTGAGGAGCATTACTATTTGGGAAGTTCATTAGGACTAAGGCTGGAGTGCGTGAAAGTTTCGGGTAGAAGATCAGCATGTCTTGTTTCATACACCCTCAGCCGGTCACAATGAGGAATATTTGCACATTATGCGTTGTCGCTTGGGTACGCCACCCTAGAGAAAGTTGGTTTGGATGGCGCGGAACATTGACGTGCATTATCACATGCTGTACATTTACAACCATCCGTCTCTACCTTTCGGAGAAGTGTTCGTAAGCGATTCTAGTCCTCATTTTAGCAGGAGTACATAGTTGGGCAAAGAATAGGATTTTGGGCTACACATTACAGAGTTGGTTTTGTGATGAATTCAGATTTCAGGATGCTTCCTCGGCAAATGCCCAGCTGGGTACACGTGTCTTCCGAGTGGTGATTGCTGTGAAAACCGTCAAGTAGTACTCCCACGTCAGATTTTTTCACTTCATTTTTGAAAAGTTTTTTTCGGATCACAGACAAGAATCCAAATAACAAATGATCCTGAAGTGTGAACTGATTGGTTTCCATTGTTTGCTTCGCAGCCAAGCGGGCTATATATTATACAATATCAAACCAATTATAATAGTCACATTACCAGAATTTCGTTTGACCTAGTTTCTTGAAACATAACCTCCCCTTCAAAAAGCGAGAAAGTGTCGGGTGCAGACCAAACACCACAACTGACGACGGCCTCCAAGTAAATCTGGTTAGAAGTTGTTCATAGTGATAGCTGATTTCTGGTGCTAACTTAGTTGGGGGGGGGCACGCGGCGGCGCGGCAGTCTGCTCGCCTGGCATGTTCGGAAATCCGTGGGCCAGGGGGAGTGTAGCCAGCCTAGGGGGTGGGGGGTGGGGGCAGTCACTTGACATGCGTGAAAAGCTGGAATGTTCGAGTTTACACTGTCTCGCTCGAGAGGGCCCAGGTGAGCAGACTGCCGCGCCGCGCGGGGCCAACTAAGTTAGCACCCCAATTTCTAGCAAATGATAGAAATTTGTGAAGGCCGTCGTCTCTTGTGGTGCATGTTCTGCACCAAACACTTTCTCGCTTTTTAAAGTTTCAGGACATCTGTCAACCGCGAGCTTTGGCGGTTCAGCGTTTTGTAGGTGATGTCTGGGAGCTCTCACAAGTGCACACTATCACAGTATCTCTCTCTTTCTTTATCTTCTTCAAAAGGCTTAGTCCCAATAAGACACAAAGTTGTGGCTTTCCAGCTACGCTCTCACCCCTTGGCTGACAGGAAGCCTCTGTAACCGCTTTTTGAAGGGTGAGAGGTAAACAAATATAACGGGGTACGGGATGTACGAGTGCCAATCTTCATGCATCGCTGAAGGATATTTTTGTTCAGCTACTGAATGCAAAGACTTTATGGAGCATTGCGACAGTCTTCAGTGCGACCATGTTGATTTCATCGAATTCGCTCGTGCCAACTGCGCCAAAACCTGCAACTACTGCTTCGAAAACGCGCACATTGTCACCAGGTCGGTTGAACAACTTGTCCTCCTACTCGCTGTTATGGAGTCACGATAATTAGATTATTAGATTAGATTAGATTATTGTACATATGTGTAGGAGCTTTGGGGGGGGGGAGGGAAGGGACAGGGGAGAAGCAGCCCATGAAGCCAAGGGTGGTCGCACGGACCTCAGCTCAGTCAATTTAGTCCTTAATTTGGTCAATCAACGTATTCACGACGCACAGTTTTTCCACTTTTCGGTCGCACGGGACGCTTCACATGCGTGGATTTTGAACTGCAAATAAACAAAAACATGAATGTCCTGAATGGTTCCAGCAACGTTCAATGCGTAAAGGCTATCTAAGGATATAGTAGTAGGATTTCGATGAAAGAGAGGGGTATAAGGATAAAAGCATAAAAGGATAAAGCATTTGCCGTTGATCAATCACTTTTTGGGGATGCGGCACGATTCATTACTTCAATTTGCATATTCGTAGTGGCTTTGACTGCGATGTGGCCTATACAATGACTTGCGGAGGCCAGTATCCTCCCAGGCAAGTCTGGTACCAATTAACAACCCCGGAGGGATGGAAGGCTTGGTTGGCCCGGGTGACTCACGACCCAGGACTTGATCCTCAGACCGCTCGCGTGGTAAGCCTGCCACTTGACACTACACCAAAAAGTGAAAAGACGGATAGTGGTAGTAAAAGGGAACATTCAATCACTTTCTCTGCGGTGGAAACAAGAAGCATCTTTCAATCGATTGGTTCGATTTAACCACTTTTCTTTTCATTCGTAGCACTCTGTCTTTACTTCTGGTACTCATTCCAATCACATGTTTGTGGCAACAAAAAGAAAAAAGAGAAGCTGCCTATATCGTTGGTACCTCTTACCTGAAAATTTTCCAGAATAAAAAAGAAAATGAAAAGAGCAGTATTGCAGGACCTTTCTTCCAAGCTAACACCAAAGCATGTAGTACGACAAAGAGCTGTTACTAGATCCTTCTATGGTGAATGGCAGCATCGCCTCTTACTTAACTGCAAAAAAAGGCGCCGAATCTATTCATTTTACCTCTAAACCTTTTGGATTTTAAAAACCTGTTTGGACCACTTGGAACAAGTAACTCACAACAACTGTTCCCTTACTAGGAGGAGAACTGGCAAAAAAATTCATAACTGTTTAGTTCTTGGAGCTGGCTGCAAAGTGCTCCATCCAATGTTCCATACTTTCGTGAACAGTTTGGAAATTCTTTTCAAATTTTCAGAATTCTCGTGCACGGATCTGCTCGAAGACTGCAATAAACGCATGGATCTTTGTCGTGATAGGGATTTCATCGACTTGATGGCTGTATTTTGCCCACGGTCGTGCATGCTCTGCACGCATCCAACATCACCTGGAGAATGTCAGGAGCTTGTTGTGAGTGAGTTGACGTTCGCCTTAAGGCACAAATCGATCTCCTCAGTTGGCATCACATCGAAGGGAAGGGCGGCGGTTGCCAGCAGCCTTTGAGCCTAGCCAGGGTCATACCTACTTGTTACGAGTAAAACAAAGGGAGTCCTTAACTCAGTGAGCTTGGAGGGGGGTCGTATCCTCTCGGATCGGCTTGCAGCAGGGTGAAAATCGTGTCGAGGAAATAACCGCCTCTTTACGACCCCCCTCCAAAACATGGACTCTGATACGACCCCTTTTTGTCCTCTGCACATCCGGTTTCATATCAAAAAATGCTAGTTTCAGATGTGCGAGAGGGACGCAGCGCCGCTGCCACGCAAATGCGGCTTGATCCAAATGCTAGATTCAATTCTTTCTTTCCTTTAAAGACATTTAACCTTTGCCACATTGGCCGGAAAGTGGAACATTGAAGTACTAGGTGCTGCCCCTACACAGTTGAACAGTCTCGTGCTCCAGTATAGCGGCGCTAACTACCGCGATCGCGTCGCGCGCTGTCTAGAGCGCGCTAGTTGGAAAAATCGTCAAATGTACCCCCTATTTAAAGGACTATAACTTTCTTCATTGATAACCATTTCAGAAAGTGAAGGCAGCTTTTGAATGCACAAGACTTCTAGTTTCTAAATTGTGCTGAGCGTTTTTCTAAGCACGCCTATTCTCGAGAGTGGGAGACGTCGAGAAATTGTCGAGGAAATTGAAATTTACATGCGAGTTCCCACTCTTTGAAAGGCAGTAGCTGTCTTCATTGGCAATGCTTTGAAAATCGGAGGAAAGCGTTGTAAAGTAGAAGATTTACGCTTTCTGATAGGTGCTCCAGTTGTTTCGATCGCTTTCTAGTTCGCGAGAAATCTGCGTCGAGGAAATGTCAAGGAAATTTTCGAAGCCACTCGAAAACTCTATTACTCCCTCGCCGTAGTAGGGAACTTCTTTGAACACCTTCAAAATACTTCTGTACACGTCAGTTCGATGGAGTAAATTGAAAATGATGCACTTGGCGCGGATCCATTCCGTTCTTGTATGCGCCATGCAGTGACGGGGGGGGGGGGGGGGTGACCCCACTCGGAGTCATTGGGAAGGTGTTTTGTCCTAGTGACGACTTGCTTAATCACACCAAAAGATATTTCCAGTATTAACTAATTAGAATAACTTTTGTGGTCATAGTGATGTCTGATCACTCCTTTATTCAAATCGCTTCCTTTCCAACCCGTTCTGATGAATGACAGCTTGCGGTTGCAGGATCTGATGATGCCAAGAAGGCTGCGAATCTGCCTGTTTTGAACTTTCTACCAAGATGCTGTTCCTCCACTAAGTTCTCGAAGCATGTACATCATTCTAGAGTAGATACTCGCTGCCCTTTCCCTACGATTCTTTTGCAGGACGCGTTGCCTTCCTATGCCATACTGATCACTACGAACCAAACCAACAACCACTTTCCATTTAAATTTTAATTCCAGACAGTTGTAAGATATTATTTGCATTAGGCTAACTACAACACTTGTGAAACTAATGATGACAGCAAATAAGTGGCAGCAGCACCGTTGTGTCCGTTGATGAACCTTTTGATTACGACCCCCTCCCAACTCTCATCGGAGCAAATACGACCCCCTGTCGAGGATTTCCTCGACCGTTATTCACCCTGGGCTGCATGATACCTCACATATATTGGTTAATTAGCTAGCAGGTTACGTTTTTATAAGATGACTGATACTGGAGCATCTATAAACCACGCTTCCCTCTAAATGAACTTTCAAATGAATCAGCGAGTTAGAAGGGCGCCCGAGGCGTGGCGCGCACCAAGGCAAGGGATGTAGTGCAAGCGCATGCTCGGAGCTTTGCTAGCACATCCTAATTAAACATAAAATTGGTCTTCCAAGAAGTTTACGGGCAGTGAAACCTAAGAAAACTCGCGTTTTCGAGAAAATGGCTTGAAGAATACCCCTCAAAATAAAAAGTAACAACGGGACTAATTTTTGAACTACTGATCTTTCAGGAACGCTTGGGTGCTCGTTAGAAAGCTTGAATCCTGTAGTTTATTATACGTGTTCAGCTTCCCAAATGAATGACTTTGAAGGAAGTTATGATCATTTGAAGGTCAAAAAGTCGCTTTGCACAGAAAAAAGTAACAACGTACTAAATTTTTATTAAATTAACTTTCGAAGAATTTTTTACCATGGTTGGAGAGAGAATAATTTGAATTTTCCAAATCAAATCACTTCGGCGCAGAAGCTCGAATATGAAGGAAGTTATAGCCTCTTTGATGACTTACGTAGAATTAATATTGATGGTAAACACTGTCTCTACACAAGTGTCACATACAAGGGGGTCGTATCAAATCACCCATGAAGGGGGGGGGGTCGTAAAAAATTTCCAAAGAGTAACAACGATAGGGTTGACCCTGCCGCCTAAGCTAACCTTAGGCTTCGATGATCGCGGAAATCTAGTGACCCGATCTCATGGTCAGCTGAACGTCTCTCTCCGCCGTTGCCGATTTTCTCAACCCCTTAAGAAATAGGAGTCCAATTCAATTTTGGCATAAGGAACCTAATGGCCCTTAAATATGAACATATCCGGATTCTTTCCTTTTACAATGAGTCCGTGTGACCCGAGATAAGATATTTCCGAAAAAGCTATGAAATGGATGTTAGAATCTCACAGCCTTATTCGAAGTGGTTTTGCAAAGTAATTTAGCTGTGCATCACGCGAAGGTTTCTGCACTACCACAAAGATGTCAGAATACCAAAAAGCGATGGGCTGCGGTAAGACTTGTGGAAAGTGTTGAACGTTGCTTCGGATCGCCGAACAAAACCACAACAACATAAACGACTTACAGAGTTTCTTTTATAAAAGATTGCGTTTATTACTGTATTTCATGCCATGCTGTTGTAAAACCTTTACGCTAGAACTATAGACTTTTCGTTTCTCTATTTCTCTGGAAAATTTGGATAGACTGTGTTAAACTTTGACAATAAATACAGGCGGAGTCGTTCATTCTCCGCACTTCAAACGGTATCAATTACCATCTTACGGTTACAAGTGAGTTGGCGAATCGAGCGATTCGCTAGCGAATCGCTAGATCCGAGCGTTGCGCCAGCGAATCGAACGTTGCACCAGCGAATCGAACTTTGCGCCAGCGAGTCGAACGATGTACCAGCGAGTCGAACTAGGTACCAGCGACTCAATCGCTGGTACCTAGTTCGACTCGCTGGTACATCGTTCGACTCGCTGGCGCAAAGTTCGATTCGCTGGTGCAACGTTCGATTCGCTGGCGCAACGCTCGGATCGAGCGATTCGCTAGCGAATCGCTCGATTCGCAAACTATGACATCGGCCTTAAGCGTGTCCATATATAAAAGTCACGACGTATAGCACGTCAGGATCCCTAACAATATCAAACGTTGTAAGAAACTCAGCCTAGATTCACCTGAACCTGATGCAGGCTACCTAATTTCTTCGATCGATTCAATGGTGGGCAATTTTTTGCAGAAAGTAGCTCTGATAACGCCAAACCCCTGCGCCCAACATTAGGTAAACGCGTTATGGACCACGGTTCTTCGTTGTTGCGCTCGAACTTTGCACCACCCTCGGCGATCCTTGTTATTTCGCCAGTGCAGAAGGTTACTACGAAGATATTTGATATCTCGAATGCTGCCATCGGCTCCCGCCTTCACATGAACCCTTGACGACCGGGATGGCCTCTGGGGGCCACACCTAAATCGCGCGTCGCGTGGGACCGTGTGGCCCGCCGGCGGGCCACGGTAACGAATTTCTTATCTTTCCACACTTTTGACAATTTGGGATTTTTCAAGCGCTGAATATGTGCACTACCCCCGTAACAAGGAAATGTTCGCAGTGGTCCAGGAATTGCCTTCTTTTGAGGACAATTTCAAAAACAATACAAACAAGAACATTTCTAATGCTGATATTAGCAAAATATCAACGTTATCAACAAAATAGCAACACAAAGCACGGGGTCGATCTTGTTGTTGAAATATGAATGGAATAATCAGGGCAGTGATCCAAGTACAAATTGTTGCCCCTTCTAGTAAACTATCCCTGCTAACTCGTATAACTTCGTATAATGCTGGTTAAAATAGCGAAACAAATTGGGTCAATAAAGGAACACATGTAAGAAGCCTGCTATCCTCAAGGACTCCCACCGGTATCAAAAACTGGAAGCCAGCGTGAGGCAGCAGCCACCTAGTGAATTACATTACTTATTGTCCACACACTAGTAAAAGAAAGAAGCTTGAAAGGAGCGTTCGGTAAAACCTAGTTGCTTTTTTTTCGAGTGCAAATTTTGCGCAAAAAAAAAACAAATTCCTAGATAAAAGCTTCTTCGAGAGTACGATCAGAACACTTATAAATCCTAACATCTTTTTCAATAGTCTATTTCATTACTGTGCTGATCTTCCATCTGCGTTAGAATGCATGGTTGGCTAATACGACGATTTACTGAAGAAAACCCCATTTCAGTGTACAATGCTATATTCAAGCAAAAAATTCGTTTCCTGGGACCGTATGGCCCGCCGACGGGCCACAGGTGTTTGGCGCGCAGTCCCACGCGTCAGACACGTTTAGAGCGCGTGGTCGTCAAAGGGTTGAAACCACGTCAAACATCTTCTATGGTTATAAACGGAACCAAGTAGTGTGCGTGAGATGATTGGTGCCTTTTCTCCACCGTCCCTAGCCGCTCCGAGGCTTAATCCAAGGAGTTACCCCGTATAGCGCCCGCTCTTCAATTTCCTATTGGAAGCATCTAGTTTGGGTTTAGCAGAGTGTGAATAGTTTGGCTTTCAGTGTGGAAATAGAAGCCTTTTCGCTCCTTGCTGAATATGTTTTGTGAATCAGCACATTTTTTTTTCACCCTCATTTTCCCATCTACGATCCAATTAGAACAAATTTATGCTTGCAATAACACTCAACTGTAAAAAATACCCATGTAACATTGAACGAACGAAAGGACAAAGATCGCACTGAGATCGAGTGAATTTGTTGAACAATTGAACAGAGGGCAGCGGGAAGCGCATTTCCCTTGTCCTCACAGACACACGACATTGATAACATTGAAGAAACTCTCTAGGAAAAGGAAGCAATGAATTGGCAAGTGACGTTATGATATATCGCAAGCATTTCATCAAGAACTTTCCATCGAGGAGCGGTAAGAGCTTATAGAAAAGAAAATCCGCATAGGCTACATTGGTATCGACAGGCAGCCATCGGCGGAGTGCTGAGGTGATCCGCTCGATGAAGCGGCGGACTGAGGCGAAACAAGAGGGGGTCGTCGTCGCCACCGATTTAGTCCTTGCCCATCAAAGGACAGTAATCGGCAGAATGATGATGTGTACTCTGATGTGCGTACGCACACCATTCCTTGGTGATCCCGTTTGTGACAGTTGCTGGCTGATCTGCAATGCAACATCGAAACACAGTGATGCCAGGCATACGCGCATGCGAGTCAGAATTTCACCCTTTTCTTCTGGCTAGTTTTTTTTTATTTATTTGGCATTTTTTCAAAGCTGGTGCGTGCATTATCTTATCCGCAAAAAGCATCATTTACCAATAGTGGAAATATTGAAGAAGTTAGGACGGTCGTAAAGAAAAATAAACACAAAAGGTGCTGAGGTACACGCACAAGGCCTGTCGTCAACGAGTTAAGTGAAAAGTTAGAAACACTACAAACTTCTCTATATAAAG